CCCAACACAGAGAGCAGGGGCACCCACACAAGGCGATACTACATCCTTCAACTGTTATTTAAGGAAAACACAGAAAATTTATCTTATTCCTTTGCTATCCCTGGATATTGGTTCACTAATATGTCTGAAGATATGCAAGTGTTCCCTCAAAGAGAATTCCTAAGAAGCTTTACTCTTGCTGTTTATTCAGGTTACCAAATGCCAGAAAGATCTCAAATCATCTTTCTAGCCATATACCCTTAAAATTTAGGGGGAAAGGGAAATTAGCAATCTTTGTCATACATGTTAAAAGGTATTGTTTCAAAGTAAAGGTTTTGTTCACAGATAAGTCCAGCTAGCAAAGGTTCTTATGACTTTATGATATGCCCTATCTACTCTCCATTTCTTTTTATATCTTATATTATCAAGGTTATGTATATATGTATGTAGTATGTGTAGGATATATTGAAATATTCAAAATATGTGAACTGCTATGAATATTACATGATTCTACAGTAAATTCTGGCCATCTGCAAGTGCTGATGCAAATTGTCGCTCACAAAGTCCACTGGCTTTCCCCTTTGGCAGAAAGGCTTGAAAAAGACCCCAGGATCTGTCTTGCATACACCCTCACTCCCCCAAAGATCTCAGACTTAAAGATTTATGTTGTCAAAAATGTGTACTTACAGAAATGGCTTCGTAGAAATAAAATTAAATAAAATAAAAATAACTTTGGTCCAGGATTTTAGTTCTTGGTGTATTCTTATAAAGTTTAGGTGTCTACTGTTTACTACAGAAGAAACAACTAATACATATTTGTTGAAATGATGCTTGGCTATTAGTTAAATTGAGATGGATGCTCTGATCTTTGACAGGGTGGTTCTTAGAGCCAAGGAACTTGGAAGAGCTAAAGAGGGAAGTCCTCTTGTGTGTATACATGTTTCTTCATGGTACCTGCACACCGCGCCTTGCTCCAACCAGAAGTGTCTACAAAGCTTATCTCTTCATTTGCAGCTGCTGAGCATCCTTTTATTTAATACACACTTATGCCACCTGGGTCCCTCTTTCCTGGATCTCGTTCTTCACACCCTAGATTTTTAGTCTACCCCAGATCTTATCTGGGAGAAGGGAAGTGAATTTGCTGTGTATGGGGGGATATCTGTTCTAAGTGGGAGGCAGACGTGAGTTTTATCACAGTAGCCACTTGGAAGCAGAAATAAGGCATCTGAAGAGATCCACAGAAACAAAGTCACAGAGACACAGGCCATAGTGTCAAGGCTTTAATATTTTGTCTCTGTATTCCCAACCTCCACCTACCTACAGAGCTTTCATTTAGTCAGTACTTGATTCAGTATGTCTTTTTAATTCTTAGAGGCTGGCTAGTTGAAGCTGGAGGGAGTGAGAAGATGGGGTGGAACTTTGATCTCCTGCTTCTAGAGGTCAGCACCAAGTACACAAAGTGACTTTTATCAGAGTTCTTAGAGAACTGATATCTAGGTAGTTAACATATACTAGATTGTGAGAAACGAGGACTAAACTGCATAGAGCAGATTCCAGAAAGATCCAAATTAAGGGATAAATTAGTTTAGACTTGTTTTGAAGGCTTTTTAGAATATAAGTGGAGTGCCAAAAGGTAAAAGAATTCAGAAAAAGGCTGTACACAGCCTCTGAGTATTTTAATAGCCAGTGGACCTTCAAATAGTGAAAAATCTCAGGACCTAGGAAGAAATTAGACTAAAGGAATCCTCGTTATTTGTTTATTATGTATGTGCGTATGTGTTCCTGTGTGTGCACAGGATGTGCACATACAGGGTATGCATGTAGTAGTTGGAGGGCAGCCTCAGATGTTGGTCTTTAAGCTCTTCCTACCACTTTTGTTTGAGACAAGGTCTGTCATTGCCTTGGAACTTCACCAAGTCAGCTAAGGTAGCTGTTTTGTGAACTCCCCCATCTTTGGGATTTCAGGCACTACTGTGGCTGGACTTGTATGTGGGTTCTAGGGATCCACAATGAGGCCCTCATGCTTGGGATGAAAGTGATTTACCAACCAACCTATCTGTCAGTGCTAGAGTATTTATTATAAAAATAAAGTCAATGTTAGCTTTGTTACTATTTTATGGAGTGAAGTCAGAATAAAATATAAGTGATGAATAAATGTATCTTTATATTCATATTGCAAAGACAGTATAATTATCTAGGCTGGGCATAGGTTTCCATGTGTGGGAGGAAGCCAACGTTAGGTGGGTCATGGCATGGGAACCTAGCCTCACTATGCCTGGCAGAAGTCCAACCTCAGTGTTCAACAGAATGTGACAATTACAGAATTCACTCAGAGATTGGTTTCTGAGGAGGGTCATTTTATCAGGAGGTTGGTCTAATAGGCTATAGGTAGCAGGAGATACAGAGTCAGAAGTGGCAATATCATTGCCATGGGATACCTTATACAACAGTGGAAGAAAAACAGAGAAACAATGAAGCAACACACACTCACAAGAATTCTATATCTTTGCATGTAGCAATCTAAGATTGCTTCTCTCTGGCCTGCAGTGATGGTGAAGGCTTGATGGTTGCAGCAGTACTGGGCCTTTTAAGTGATTGCTCCAGGGACTCAGCTTACAGTCATTGTGGGGTAGGACAACTTGTCAGGAATGAAGATGATGACAGAGGTCACCTAGACTTATGAGGACAGGGCCTGAGCAAGGAGGGAAGAACTTTAGAGAAATAGAGCTTGAAGTAGAAGACACTCAAATTAAGAAGTAAATATGTTTTGATGATAAGTTTGATACAACAAAGATGGTAGAACCCAAAATAACTGCAGGTGGATTTTTCAATTCTCAAGTCACATGGCCCTTTTACTCTGGAGCACTCACTTGATACATGAATCACAAGAACTCTGATCCACAACTTTCTTCAGAATTCTTGGTTTTGATAGTGTTTAGTTTAGAGTTTTTGCAAACATAAGTTCTTTTGTCTATTTTTAAAGATCCAAATCAGGCAAATTAGTGAATAAAATCCCGTTAAAGCTTAGCTTAACTTTGGCTTCCTGGACTCTTATCCCAGAGGGACATTTCAGAGAGCTCAGGGAATACAGAGAAATGTTGCTGTGAAGAACATCTTTTTAAAAAGGATGGTGTGTGTGTGTGTGTGTGTGTGTGTGTGTGTGTGTGTGTGTGTGTGTATGTGAACACATATATCTCTGAGGCTATATGTGTTTTGCAGGATTTCAGTGTGTGTGAACATGTGTATCTCTGAGGCTATATGTGTTTCTTGTTTTCCTGTTTGTTTGTTTGCTTTGTCCTATTCCAGTTTTTTTTAAATTTCATTTTTTAGATACATGCCAGTTTTCTAAGAAGAGAGAGGGGAAAAAAGGTGTGGGTTTGGATGGGAGGAGAGGTGTGGGTGATCTGGTAGGAGTTGGGGGAAGGAAGATTTAATCAGAATATATTGTATGAAAAAAATCTCTTTTCAATAAAAGAAAAAATAGAAAAAGACAGAAATAGATATCTGCTTTCTTAGTCCAAGATGCCATTATTGGTGTGTGTATATGTGAGTGTGTGTGTGTGTGTGTGTGTGTGTGTGTGTGTG